CACCTTCAGTTAACCTGGAGAGTTTGGACCAGGATGGTGGTCGGCGTACGCCTGACCGGATAGCTCGGAAGCTCGGTTGTGTTCTCTGTGGTTGTGATTTTCTCCAAGGAATAGGCCGGTTTTGGTATGCCGGTCAGGTGTGCCACTTGGGCCAATGGTGTGAGGGAGAGGAAATCTGCTCCAGGCACGCGTCAATACCATTTGGCAGTTTTGCAGGTACTGGATAGAGGATTTGGCCTTTACACGCATAAGGTGGTGGGAGGCGAGCACTGCCACCTGTCCAGGGAAGGACAGCAGAGGTAGTGCGCGCACAATCCTGAGGCTGCATGGCCAGCCTAGAGAAAGGAAGGGAAGATGAATGTTGGAGGTAATCAATTAATGCCATCTGAAACACACACTCTCTCTCTAACAGTCTTCTTCTTCTTCAAGTGATCTGACTTGATCGTCGGAGGGTCTATCCGGCAACCCATCGCCGGGCAGCTCACCGTTTCTTTGTTGCCAGGTTAGACGTCATCACGTGAAGCTTGAGTCCAAGGAGTACGGAAAGCACTAAATATTTCGCCCTCGTACAATTGGCGCTGTCTGTGGGAAAGTCTTTGATACTCAAACCTTGCTCTTCAAGCTTCTTCGACCGTTTTCATGGCCAACAACGACGAAACTCCACTGTCCGTTGTCGATGGTATCACACCAGAGTCTGTCCGACGAAGAAAAGGCCCTCCAAATGTTCCAGCCATGGCGGGCCTAGAGACCTCTTCGAGAGGTGCGCGAGACAAACGCGGAAGGAGCACTGATAGCTCGCAAAGTCCAGAGGGCCGTCGACGGAGAGGGGAGTCCTGTGCGCAACGCCTGGAGCACAAACTCAAAGACCAGGACGCCCTCATTCGCAGGATGGCGGTTGAGATGGAGATGTTGAAACGTCAGATAAAGGGGAAGGGTGTTGCTGGAGAGGGCAACCTCAGTGAGCGCACCCCGTTTCCTCGTTCTAGCAGTCGCCGCCAGGAAAGGACGCACCCTCTCTCTATCTCCAGAAACTATGGGGTTGGGGATTCCAACCCAAGGGAGGGCAGGTCCCTCACTCGCGACAGCACCTACCACCCCTCGCGTCCCTCGTCGACGTCGCGATACTCTTTCTCCACTCATTCCAGAGACCTGAGGGAGGTGTTGGAGGAAAAAGTGCACCGTCAAGAGGCTCAAAGAGTGCCGGCGTTGCAGAGGTTGGGCACCCAAGTTCGTTTTAGCGAAGAACTGGCAATGCCAGCAGCCAGGGTGATGGCTCCTACACTAGTGGACAAAGAGCTGGCGAGACTTATAGCCACGCTGCTGTCTCTAGAAATCGAGAGTACACCGCTCCCTACCGGGTTCCACCAGCCTAAGTTCACCTTGTACGACGGCAAGACGGATCCGTACATGCACGTGAGTCATTATCGGCAAGTAATGGTTGGCCACCGGCGCAATGACGCCTTGATGTGCCTTATATTCCCAGCAAGCTTGGGAGAACTGGGCCTGAAATGGTTCGAAAGGCTTCCAGAGGGGAGTATCGAGGGGTGGCAGCAACTAACGGAAGCCTTCGTCACCAGATTCAAAACCAACACTCGAACACCGAAAGAGGTCGACCATCTCCTGGGCGTCAAGATGGAATCTGGAGGTTCATTGAAGGCATACAATGCAAGGTACTGGGAAACTTACAATGAAATCCTCAACTGCCCTACCAATCTGGTGATCACTCAATACAAGCGGGGTCTCCCAGCCGGACATAGGCTGCGAGATTCGCTCACAATGCACCAACCCACAACCATGGAGTCCTTGATGTAGCGGATCAATGAGAACATTCCTGTGGAGGATGATGCCGCCTCCGCGACCGAGAAGGTTAATCCGGTCGCGGCGGACTGAAGGGTGGCGGGAAAGGTTCACTCGATTGGGCAGGAGGATAACCGCCCAAACGACCGGTCAAAAGATCAACGTCGTGGCCCAAACCGTGATGATAGAAACAAAGGTCGCAGAAACGACCGAGCTGACGCTCCGCGTGATACAGAGGAGGATGCCAAGAGAAAATTGAAGGCGCGGACTGGAATCACCACGGTCTTTAAAATCCCTATCTACCACATCTTGAGTGAGATCCGAGGTAAGCCTTTTGTCCGCTGGCCGGCCAAGTTGGGGAATGCACAGAGAGGCTTCAATTCAAGGTATCGCTACACCTTCCATGAGGAACGGGGACACCGAACGGAGGATTGCTTACCGCTCAAACAACATTTGGAGGAGCTAGTGGCCGTGGGACATCTTGACCAATACATGGATGGGGGTATGAAAGTCGCCCCATTAGGGCAAACCGAGCCAAACGACCTAGCCGCCCTAGAGGCAGCACCCCAAGGCGTAATCAACGTCATCCATGGCATCATTGAACCAGCAAGGGTCTGCAAGCTCAGAGGGATGATTAAGAAAGCCGAGTACATGAGGGAAGTGCTCTCCGTTCAGCTCGTTGTGAAGAAAGGGAAGACCGAGGAGAAGGACATCCTTACCTTTTCGAGCAGGGACCTGGAGCGGATCCAGATGCCCCACAATGATGCCCTAGTGGTAACTCTTCGCGTCAAAGACTTTGACATCAAGAGGATCTTGATCGACCAGGGGAGTTTGGTCAAAATTATGTATTATGACGCATTCAAACAAATGAAGTTGGAGGACAAGGACTTGGCCCCCGCGTCGTTGTGAAGAAAGGAAAGACCGAGGAGAAGGACATCCTTACCTTTTCGAGCAGGGACCTGGAGTGGATCCAGATGCCCCACAATGATGCCCTAGTGGTAACTCTTCGCGTCAAAGACTTTGACATCAAGAGGATCTTGATCGACCAGGGGAGTTTGGTCAAAATTATGTATTATGACGCATTCAAACAAATGAAGTTGGAGGACAAGGACTTGGCCCCTGCGACGTCCCCTTTGGTTGGCTTCAACTCTCAGCCAGAATGGCCGGTAAGGAAGATCATATTGCCGGTCAAAGCGAGTTCAGTCACAAAGCAAGTAGAGTTCTGGGTGCTCAAAGTCCCATCCACCAGCAACTTAATTTTGGACAGGAGCTGGTTGCACGCCATGCAAGCAGTAGCGTCGACTTACCATCAGGTTTTGCACTTCCCGGCGCCAAGCGGACGAATAGAGAAAGTTTTGGGAGACCAGGTGATGGCAAAACAATGCTTTGTTGCGGTAAATAGCAGCCGAGCAGCCACAGGGTTTGTCCAAATGATTGAGGGACCCGAGGGAAAGGAGGTCCTTGAAGACGTAGGAAGAAAGGCCGAGGAAAAATCGATCGAGGATTTGGTGGAAGTGCGCATCAACGAGAACGACCCAACTAAGTTCTTCCTCTTGGAATCATCTTTGTCTAGCGCCGAGCGGTTAGATTATGTCAACTTCTTGGTTTCCAATTTGGAGGCTTTTGCGTGGACGCCTTACGACATGCTTAGCGTCGACCCCAGCTTTATTTGTCACCAGTTGAATGTCTTCCCTAATGCGCGGTCGGTCATTCAGAGGACTCACCGCTCGGCTCTGCACCATGCCGAGGTAGTGGCAGAAGAGGTCAAAAATTTGTTAGAAGCATGGGCAATAGAAAAAGTGCAATACCCTCGATGGATATCCAACACGGTAGTAGTTCCGAAAAAGAATAGCAAGTGGCGAGTCTGCGTTGACTACAAGACGGTCAACCGTGCATGCCCAAAGGATAGCTTCCCCCTCCCTCAAATAGACCAGCTGGTGGACTTGACCGCTGGCCATTAGAGGTTTAGCTTCCTGGATGCATATCGCGGTTACCACCAGATAGCCATGTACGAACCGGACCGAGAGATCACATCGTTCACTACTCCTAGGGGCTTGTATTGCTATAAAGTCATGCCGTTCGGACTGAAAAACGCCGTGGCAACTTTTCAAAGGATGGTGACAAAGATGTTCGCTCCACTGCTGGGCCGCACCATGGAGGCCTACATTGACGAAATTCTGGTAAAGAGTAAGGAGAAGTCTCAACACCTTGCCGACCTAGTAGAGATGTTTGCCATACTTAAACACCACAAGCTTCGTTTGAATGCCTCTAAATGCGCCTTCGGAGTCGGCACCGGAAAGTTTCTGGGTTTTCTGGTCACAAATCGAGGGATTGAAGCCGACCTATCCCAAATCAAAGCTATACAGGAGCTGGAGCGCCCAAACTCCACAAAGGACGTGTAACATCTTACCGGGATGGTAGCCGCGCTGAACAGATTTATCAGCCGGTCTTCAGATCGTTGCAGAGCCTTCTTCAAAACTTTGAAGGCCAAGTTTTTCTGAGATGACGAATGTGATCGTGCACTGGCAGATCTAAAAGTGTACCTTTCCTCAGCCCCAATCTTGGTCACACCAAAACCAGGTGAAGAACTGTATCTCCACTTGGCGGTCTCTCAACATGCAGTGAACGCCGTCCTAGTCCGTGCTGAAGGCATCCAGCACCTGCCCATCTTCTATGTAAGCAAGACTCTGCTCCCAACTGAGACGAGATATCTTCCGCTGGAAAAATTAGCGCTGGCCCTGATGGGCTTCGAGAAAGCAGGCGCACTATTTTCATGCCCATGCAATAGTTGTGCTAACCGAATTTCCACTTAAGGTGCTCTTTGAAAAGGCAGACTTTACCGGGAGAATCTTGAAATGGGCCGTGGAATTAGGGCAGTACGACATCAAGTTCCGACCGCGCACCGCAATCAAGGCTCAAGCCCTTGCAGACTTTGTGGCGGAATTTGCCCCTGGAATGCATCCGGTTTCCCAGTTGACTTGGCTAGAGCGGATTTGGCACAGCTCGTGGTTCAGGCAATGGCGACGAATGTTGGCTCGCAAGTGGAAGAAGAGCAAATGGCAACCGAACTTGAGAACCCGGATAACTCATCGGAGTGTGAACCCAGCCAAGGCAAGGAAAGAGACCAGAATGAGCCGACCAGAGCCTTGCAGTTAAGAAGCTCACAAAACCCCTCTGACTGCTAGAAGTTGTTCATTGGCAAGATGTGGAAGCTCTTCATCGACGGGGCATCCAACAGGCATGGCGTCGGGCTAGGTATCGTGTTGACTTCCCCAGATGGGCTGGTCATCGAACAAGCAATTACGCTCGGCTTTCCTGTGTCCAACAATGAAGCGGAGTATGAAACCCTTCTCGCCGGACTGATGAGTGCATTGAGGATGAAAGCGTCGGCTCTCATGGTGTTCAGCGACTCCAAACTGGTGGTCAATCAGGTTTCCGGGGAGTATGAGGCCAGGGATAAAAGAATGGCCAAGTATCAGGCGCTGGTGTGCACGGAGATCAAGAAGTTCGCCGCCACACGAATGGAGCAAATCAACCGTGAAAAAAACAACGCAGCAGACAAATTGGTCGGCCTTGCATCTACACAATTAGCCTTCCCTAATCCCTTGATGATAGAATTCTTGCCTTGGCCAAGCATTGAGGAGCCAGAAGTGCCCAAGGTACTCTACACTGACTTAGGACCTTCCTGGATGGACCCCATCATCACCTTCCTGAAAGATAGAGTTCTGCCCGAAGAAAAGAAGGCAGCCAACAAAATTCGGGCTAAGTCAGAGCGGTTTTGGCTCTCGCCATCCGAAGCCTTGTACAAGAAGTCTTTTACCGGGCCACTCCTAAAGTGTGTCCATCCCGCCAAAGTGGAAGCTTTCCTCTATGAGATTCATGAGGGCATCTCCGGGAGCCATACAGGGGGCAGATCTTTAGCTTACAGAGCAATCTCCCAAGGTTACTGGTAGCCATGCATGCAAGCAGACGCGCAGAAATACGTTCGCCGGTGTGAAAAGTGTCAGAAATTCGCTCACCAAATCCACCAGCTAGCCAGAGAGTTGCTCCCCCTTACAAGTCCTTGGCCGTTTGCGCTTTGGGGACTGGATATTGTGGGGCCACTCCCAGCTGCCCCAGGCAACCGCAAGTTCTTCATCGCTGCTACCGACTACTTCACCAAGTGGGTTGAGGCCGAGCCATTGGCAACCATAAAGGAAAAAGATGTGAAGAAATTTGTTTGGCAAAATGTTATCACTCGCTTCGGTATACCAAAGGCTCTCATCTCAAATAATGGTACTCAGTTCGATGGGAAACTCTTTCGCGAATTTTGCAAAGAGCTGAAGATTGAATTCTACAATTCAACACCGGCCTATCCTCAGTCAAATGGGCAAGCGAAGGCCTCCAACAAGACCATGCTAGACGGGCTGAAGAAGCGTCTTGAAAAAGCCAAAGGGAAGTGGGCTGAAGAACTCCCTAATGTGCTCTGGGCATACCGCACTACATCGAGGCGATCGACCGGAGAGACACCATTCGCCTTGGCCTATGGCATGGAAGCCGTTATCCTGCTAGAAATTAGTATGCCAACTATCCGGTCTGAGAGTTTCCAGCCAGATTTGAACAATGAAACAGTCGCATTGGATCTTGACCTAGCCGAGGAAAGAAGAGAACGGGCTCTGATTCACATAGCGGCCTATTAGTAAGAACTCTCCAAGAAATACAACAAGGCTGTGCACCCCAGGCTGTTCAAAATCGGGGACTGGGTCTTGAGAAAGGTGATGGGCAACACGGTGGTCCCTAGCGAAGGAAAACTTGGTGCAAATTGGGAAGGATCATACAAGGTGACTGTCCGGGCAGGCAAAGGGGCATACCATCGGGAAGATTTAAATGGTAAAGCTATCCCCAGATCGTGGAATGCAGCCAACCTTAAGATCTTTTACTTTTGAAATGTAATCGCTTTTGTTGCTTAGCTTTCTAGACCTTTAGCCTTCTGGCATTCGATGTAAGGATAGCACTGCTCTTTGTAATGAAAAATGTCTCTACTTTTTGTTTATACTATGTGGTGTGCAAGGATATTGGGCCTCTGAGGATGTCAGGGGAAAGGAGACCAACCTAAAAGGGACCGAACTGATCTCCTCTCACCGGTATAGAAAAAAACCGCACAAACAGTTAGTGTATTATCCAATTTGCATAAGGCCCGAGCTGATTTTTGCTAGCCCAATTGGGATGTTGGCATCATGACCAACTTAAATGAAATATTGGTGTTCTGACCAATCCACAGGTCGAGCTGATTTTGCTCGGCCAAATTGAAATGTTGGTGTTTTGTCCAACTGAAAAGAGCCGAGCCGACTTTGCTCGGCCCAACGAAATATTGGTGTTTTTCCCAACTTACAAGGGCCGAGCTGACTTTGCTCGGACAAATGAAATGTTGGCGTTTTACGCAACCTAAACAGGCCGAGCTGATTTTGCTCGGCCACATGGACATATTGGTGTTCTGCCAATCTAAGAAGGGCGAGATGATTTTCGCTCGGCGAAAAGGCCATGATACTTAGCGTTTTATCAAACTGAGAGGGGCCGAAGTGGTTTTTGCTCGCCCAACTCTAAATGTTCATGATTTGCCCAACTCATGGCCGAGTTGATTTTACTCGGCCGTATGAAAATGTCTGGGTTTGTTTGCAACATCCAAGAGCCGGGCTGCCAGTCGCGATTTGTGAACATTTAAGTTGAGGGAAGTCTAATTTTAGTTTGGCATATTGCGTGGCATAACCGACCTACCAGTTGTGATTCCAGAACATTCGAATGAAGAAATAGTGAACTTTGCAGCCGAACAAAAATAGATGATCAACGAGCAAAAAAGTTCAAATTTTCATTGCTGAAGGAAATTACATTACAAAGGTGGGGCCAGGCCCGGTTACATCAAAAAAAAAATAAAATAAAATAAACAAACAAACAAAACCAAAAGAAGAAAGGTAACATTAGTCAAGATCGACATCAACGGTTTGCTTGACAGTCGTTGTTGTCTGCTCGATCAAGCCCTCCTCAGTCTCATCTTCCGTAGCAACGACTTCCTGCTTGGCCTGGCCATCTTCGGCCGTCTCAGAAGTTTCATGAGGGGTTTGGTCGGCGGGCTGTGTAGCGGTGGCTTCCTCCTCGGTAGCTTTCTTTGCCTCTTCAATAAGCCTTTTTTGCGCGGCGCTGGCGTACGCCTGCATATAGTGCGGTATGAAGGCAGCAGGCGGATTTTGGAACATTTCAGCGTCTTGACCAAGGCTAACTTTTTCCACGGCAGCTTTCCAACCGCACTGGAAAAAGATGTCCTTAGTCGCCTGAACCTACCGTTCATAAGTCTTCTCGCCCTACGCATACCCCCGGTCTTCAGCGTCGTCAACCGCCTTATCTTTCTCCTTCTTATGGGCATCGCGAAGTTTGCGCAGCTCGGCGAGGTACCGAGCCTTCGTCTGCTTCACGGCCCGCTGTTTGTCCTCTTCAGCCTGGCCCAACTTCTAGGTTAGCGTATCGCGCTCGGCCTCGGTCGCCTCTTGCGCGGCCTTCAACTTGGCTATTTCGGCCGTTTTGGCCTTGTTTTCAACAATGGCATCCCGCAGGCTCTGTCGCACTGCGATCATTCGATCGTGTGCTAAATAGTTCTTTTGCGCGACCTGTAAACAAATGAAAGATTGTAAGAATTCAGAAAATCAAGCAAAAATCGGGCAATAACTTGACGAAAAGAGTGGAGAACTTGCCAAAACGATCGATTTAGCCGCCGAGCGAAGCACTTTCAGGTCGGACAACTTGTCGTGCTTCTTCATGTCGGTGGGAAGGATCAGCCCCTTGGTCATGTTGAAACCGAGGGACAGCCCGGCCTTTGTACTTGAATTCGGGGGACCAGACCGAGGGGGCATTTGGGCTCTTGGTTGGCCCACCGATTGGTTGTTCGGTCTAGTCCCCCAGGTCGGTCGAAGTCTGCTTGGTGGAGTCCTCGTCCACCAGATGTTGTCCGGCCAGATCTTTCCTCGGCCGCTTCTTCGACCGGCCAGCTACTTGTTCGCTGGCAAGAGCCAGCACAGCCCCCTTCTCTTATGCAACCGGAGTAGAGGAAGTCCCCCCTGATGCCTCTGGTGGCTGGGAGTCGTTGGGCTCACCAGTAATCATCGATTTGATTGCTCGAATTTTGGCCATTTCTTGCTCGGCAGTAAGAGGAACAAGTCTGATCGATGGAAGATTTGGATCTGGTTTTGGGGAGGGCGCACGAAGAAAGTCAGTCACCCTGCTTTTGCGCGGCGTTGTGTAATCGTAGGTTGGTTCAAAGCCGAGCAGCTTCGGTGATTCCCTTTCCTCGGCCGGATGACGCAGCAGAATTCTGATGGCCTCTTGATTAGCTCGGGAGTAGTCATCGGCCAAAAGCTTGTAATCTGCAAAAAAAAAGACAAGTGTTAGATTGGCAAAAATAAAATCAATGTAAAAAGAAAGTAATGCGGTTTGCCAAGCTACTCACCAGTGCTGCCAAAATCTTTCCTAATGTACCAGCCCGGTATGGACGCCTCGGTGTCCTCATATCGACCGGACACCCACAGGAAATCATCATCATTTGTTTCCTTATCAGAGTTACCCTCAATGAATTTTGCTCGGCCCTTCTTTACCTTCAGGTACTAGCAAAACCCACCCTTATTCTTGCTGAGGCTGTATTGATGAAATATCTCGGCAAGGCTGAGATTGAGACCGAGCCTCCTATTCAGCTCGGCCACGCCATTTATTATTTTGTGCGTGTTGTTTGAGACTTGGGTAGGACAAAGACTTGTCTGCCTCAAAAATTCGTAGATCAAGGGTTGGACCGGGAAACGAAGCCCTCCCTCCACTATGAATACGACCGTGAAAGGGCATCGGTCTAGGTCACCCCACGGGGTATCTCCCTTCTTGGCCAGCTCTAAATGGACATCGTCTGGAATGTTGTACTCCCTACAAAACTCGGCTAGTGCACCGGGCGAGCTCACCATGAACCGGTACTTCCCCATCTATCTCGGTTTCACTTATTTGGTGGTTTAATTTGTATCTTGGTGGAAAATTCTGGTGTATTTGCTCGGACTTTGAGCTCCGCTAGTGCTAATGCTGAAGGGGCCTGGTCGGTCCTAGTTTGTTCTGCATTGTTAAAAAATAAGCCCAAGGGTTAGCGCGGCATAAATTGCACAGCTCCTATTGGAACTCCTAGCTTGGTCAAAATCCCCCGTTATCTGTGGCCGGTCTAGCCCCTATCTCGGCTCGACTATCCGGCCGATTTGGCCTTCCTAGTTCGGTTCTGACTCCCTATACCCAGCACGGTCGCGGCCTCAACGAGAAGCCACAAACTAGTTTTTGCTCGGCTGAAGTTTTATTTATCGATCTAAGTTGCCTACTTAGCTTGGTTCTACCCAGATTCAAATTGTTCATCCCAAGTGCAGAGTTTATGCTTTGAGGCTTGGGGCATCAAGGGGCACGAAAACCCCAAATGCTCCTCCAGTTCCAGTTTTTTCTAGCGTGTATCATTATTAGTCTAAAGGGGAGGGGGATTGTTGTGATTCCAACATCCCCAAGCAAGAACACGAAGAACACAGTTGAAGAACTTGAAGAGTAAAGACTGAAAGTACGAAATATGGATAGAGGGACTTACCAATGTCAGATGCCTAGCAAAGTCGACCCCTCAAGCTGGTTTGCAGCTTCAGAAGGAACAGAAATGGATGTTGGGGAGAGAAGGAGAGCAACGGCAATAATGATAGAAGTTTGGAGTGTTGAGGGCTAGGGTTTTGGCTTGAAGGAGAAAATGAATAGTGTAGGTGCAAATGACCCTTCGTTTGTGCATAAAAAGGGGGGAAAACCAAATTGTTGCGCCGTTTGAATTTCGCGCATGAAAAGACAGCTTTGGGGCTGCACGAGGCCAATGGGATGAAGCCACGTGGCATCAAAAGGACGGCTGTCAGTACGGTTGTATGACCCTTGATAGGACTACGGGCAGGATACGAAGACCAACCAAATAGGATAGCTCGGTAATTGCTTCGACCCCAATCACGCTCGGCTTGGTGCTGGCGCGACTAAGGAACTGTTAGCTCGGTCATGGTGGTAACCCCAATCACAATTAGCTCGGATGGGATTAAGGGGAAATTGAGAGGGGAGATTTACACCGGACAGTACGACCGAGCTACGGTAACACGGGTGTGGCAAACCTCACGGTGCCGAGCTATCTTCTCAGTTGGCGCGGCCCTCCGGCCTGTTGTACACAGCCGAGGTAGGTTGGCAGACCAGGCATGGTCTAAGGCCTGGCCAAGCTGTGACTACTAGACGTTCGGCGATAGGCGCGCGTTAGCACGGCACAACCGAGAAAATGGCAGTCCGGAATGAGTCTAGGCCGAAAAGAGGACCAGCACGCTTCACCTTCAGTTAACCCAGAGAGTTTGGACCAGGATGGTGGTCGGCATGCGCCCGACCGGATAGCTCGGAAGCTCGGTCGTGTTCTCTGTGGTTGTGATTTTCTCCAAGGAATAGGCCGGTTTTGGTATGCCGGTCAAGTGTGCCACTTGGGCCAATGGCGTAAGGGAGAGGAAATTTGCTCCAGGCACGTGTCAATACCGTTTGGCAGTTTTGCAGGTACTGGATGGAGGATTTGGCCTTTACACGCGTAAGATGGTGGGAGACAAGCACTGCCACCTGTCCAGGGAAAGACAGCAGAGGT